TTCCATACATTGTTATCTCCAGTAGCCTCGTCCACATCTTGCCTTGTAATTCAGACCATAGAATCCTGGGTTTAGTTTGGGGGGTTTACTGTCATGGATTTTTACCCTGCGAGTGTACCTGTAAAGCCATTGATATTCAAATAACTTCACTAAATAAGCAACTGTGCCAGAGTAGTTATTTATTACTATTTATGATGAGACTTATCTAACTGATTTCTCCAACACATTTTTCCAGAGGAAATTAGATACATTGCTTAGTTAAAGCTGTGCCAAGGAGGAAATGTTTCTATAAATACTTACCAACTCATCTGGAGAGATGATAAGTGCTGGTGTGTCCTTCACAATGTCATGTTAGTTGCTGAGTCTGGTTTAAAATTCAGTTGTTTATGTTCCTGGGAGAAAAAAACCCCGATGGTTCTAAAGTGAGGAACAAAGTATATGCAAAAAATCAGTCCTGAACTCTGAAACCTTGAATCTAAGGGCTTTTTTTTTTTCTTTTCTATTAGATTCAGTAGGGAATAAATTGCCAGCCAGGCTAACATAGTGTGCTTGCTTACCTGGCGCTGGAGGACAAAGTGACACATGGTGGCAGCCAGGGTGTGTGTGCCACAGTGCAGTGATGGAGCAGTGTCTGTGCCCAGCCCTGGCATGCCCTGTGTCCTGCATCCTGTGTCCCACTCAGCAGGAGGAGGCACCGTCCTGCCCACGACTGCAGCACCCTGACAACAGGAGAGTACGAAACTGCACTTCAATTACACTGAAAATTGTTACGAGAAAGGAAGTTTAGTTGTGAATCAGGCTGAGGCACTGTATGAAATACATTCAGATAAGAAAAAGAGTTACCTAAATCTCAGATTTTGCCAGTTACAAAACCTCTTGTGGTTTTCAGCAGGCCTGGGAAATGGAAACAGACAGCAAATAATGAAAAACATTCCTATAGGCTTCTACCCATGGATTGCAGGAGGGATACAGGGAAATTGCATCCTGGTTTACATGAAATAATGCACAAAGAGCTGGAATGGATGAGTGAGATTGGGGTCCACCCTCAGCATTCCTCCATAAGCACACAGAAGCTCTCATTTCCAGTGCCAGCCCTTGTTCAAGGTGACTCTTCAGTTCTGCTGCTGCTTCAGCCGCAGAAGTGACCCAGGGGCCCCCAGTGATTTATTTGTGATAACTGACCATTCAGAAATAGCTGTGGGTGCCAGCAGCTCCCCAGTGCCCGCGGGGGATGCTGGTGCCCCTGCACGTCCCCTTGTTCCCCTTGGCCCATGCCTTGATTTATTTATTTCTTTGAGTACCTTTCCTCCTGATTTTTAAAAGCTCAAATATGGACACTGTTTTGCTGCTAGCTCTGAGGTAATGGGGTTTTTTGCCAGTTAGCTTGTTATACAATCTCAAATGTCAAGAAATTCATCTACCAGGCTGTCTCTGCCTTAATAGCTCTATTACCAGCTCTAGCTAGTTTCAGAATAAACTCTAAAACTATGGCTAAACACACACATGGCATCTAGCTGCAGCAGTTAAACAAGCTAATTCCCTCTCTTGCCTGGAAAATTGTTCACTCAACAGCTCTTTGGACCTGTCAGGTTATTTTTAGCCACAATTAAGACACCAACATACAATGTCATAGCACCCCTTCTGTTAACTGATGTGCCAGTACTTTTTTATTCAGTAAACTATTAAAAGTTTTAAATTTTTAGTATTTAAAGCCTTGAAGGAGAAAGCCCCCTAGTATTGATGCCTGATGACATTTAGTCAATGAATTAAGGAAAAAAGAACGGTGACGGTTCTGACTGTCTCCCAGCTCTTGCTAGCACTAAATTACAGAATTAATAGGCTTTTAGAAGAGACTGACACACAGTTACTGTGGTAAAGACAATTAAAAGTGGAAAGCCACTTTTCTCACCACATTTAATTTTAACTGGAGACTTTGAGACTCAATAAATCTTTTTCTTATTTCATTCTCACATTTTCCACAGGTATTCAAGTTTTTAAGGAAAGTTCCTGCTATAAACAACTTAATTTTTTCTTTCTTTGAATCTTTTGCTATTGTCTTTTTTTCCATTCCTCAATAAGGAGTTGAGGTGCTTTCCCATCACCAGCATTCTACTTTCTTTAGAATTGCTGTTACTAAGATGTGGCTCAGGTTTTATGAAAATACAGTGGGGCAGGAGTCTCAGTCCCATCTGGGATTTCTCTGGCAAATCTAGCTGTCAGGAAAAAAAAGCAGACAAAGGCACTTGTCTGCAGGAATATCTCAGGGCAGTGGGACCAGGGTGTAGAAGAGGGTTTTTTTAAGAAAACAACAACATCATGAAAATGCAAATTTTTATGACAGTTTTGGAAACAGACTCAGAAAATCTTTCTATTCCAAGAGCTTGGGCTTAATTAGCCTTTCCTTAAGATAATGGTATGAAATAGAAATGTCAATTTTGTTTAAAAACAGTTTCCTAAGAAACACTTCTTAAAGAAGTTGCAGAGAATGGATTTATCCAGGCCCAGTGGCTGTTCAGAGGATGCTGCAATGATTCAGCATTTCCCCATGCAATGGCTCTCCACAGGGTTTATTAGCACAGCCTGCTCCAATGCCTCTTGGAAAGCTCTTGGCACAGCACACTGTAAGTCTCTTCACTTGCCAAAAATTGTTTTAGGCTCTTGTTCAATACCAAGTTCATGTTGTGACCTTGGGTGGAAGCACCAGCAGACACAGTGCTGCTGCTTGTACCAGTCAGTGTCTTTAGGGCGATTTCTGCGGGGAGATGAGCCGTGGGATGGGCAATCTCCTGCTCAGGGGCACGGTGGTGCTGCTTGGTGGCGTGCAGCAATCCACGCCCTGTGAGCAGTCTGGGGGGCACAGCTCAGCGTGGCGGCTCAGCGGAGATACCCACATTCAGCAGTTTGAGCACAAGCTCATTCTGATGGCAGCTTTAGTAGAGGAACAGGACTCTGGAAGACAGGAGAGCTTTAATTCCTTCCCTGCCCTGGTCCTTCTGACAGCTCTTGCTAGGACCATCATGACTTGTGGTTGTCTTCCACCTTCCCCAGCTTGCTGCCACTGCAGATCTGCCCTGAGCTGATGCAGAGAGCAGCTTCCCTTGCCATGCAGAGGCAGCAGCATTAATGTCAGGTGACATTTATACCTCCCTCCCCACTGACTTAACATCGTGTGAGTGGTTCAATGTCTCCACACAGATTGATGGAGCAAATTACCCTTGCGAAGGACCTGTGTCTCTCTGACTGTAGGGACTCGGGTGACTAATTCCAGCCTGACACTTCCCTTCCAAGGCAGCAGCATTGAGACGTGTCCTGGCCATGCCCCCGTGCTGCTTCCCAATTGACTGGTTGATGAATGGCCGGCCTTGGCGTGGCAGCAGTGCTGATGGATGCACTGCCCGGCTCTGCGGCTGTGCCTGGCCAGCATCTGGCACAGCCTGCTGCTGCCCCCTGCTCCCAGCCACCTCACCCCTCAGAGCACCCCACGTCCCTTAGGGGGGCCTGTCAGGAGCACTGGTGGCCAGGGGGTTAAAGGAGCTCCGCAGCTGAGCCCTGTGGCTCATGCTCTCCACTGGGTTATAGTCAATCCCTGTATGATGTTGTCAGTGAGGGTGAAATGAACTTGCAGTAGCTGAAAGCAAGATAGGTTAATTAAAAACCTTGATCAAAGCATCATACACCACATAAACTGTTACATCTTCTAATTATTTTTAAATGATCTCTCAGGCAGGATGGCCAACAAGCAGTCCCTGTTCCAGGGCCTGTGAGCTGTGGAATTGTGTCATCACGTCAGATACAGTTATCACTTGCTGTCCCAAGGAGAGAAGGGCACAGCTGGGGATGGTCCCCCTGTTGAGGATGACAATGAGGAATTGGTGATGAGTCCTTAGCCCTGGTGTGAGGGGTCGGGCTGGGAGCTGCACAGACCCTCCCAGCTGGGGCAGGGCCGTGCCTGGGGCGAGCCTGGCCGAGCTGGCCTTGCATCCTGGCAGTGTCTCAGCTCTGGATCCCACACCAAGGGAGGGAGTTTCAGCACCTGCTGGATGTTTTGGTTCTCACAAGCACTTTGTGCTGTAGGGTGAAATCAGAGCAGTCAGCCCAGCACCCAAAGCAGCTCTCTGTGCTTCCCAGCACTCTCTCCTTCGGCAGGGAGCTGCCACCTGCCCCAGGCTCTGTGACAGCTCCGACCTCGGGAGGGCAGAGGCGCACAGGGCACAGCAGGGATTATCCAAGGAAGGTTTCAGTGGGAATTTTAGATTACAAATGATAATTCTGCACTCTGTGTAGGAGAGCTGGGAGATGCAAATTCAAATCCTCCCCACCACAGCATGGTGTCCAGGCACAGGTACCATGGGTGTCAGTGCAGGGATGTACTGTAGTGAGAACAGCAAAGGTTCTTCCAAATCCCTTCTCCTGGCATGTGAAACGGGACCAGAGTAGCATGTGCTTCCTCCTGCCCTTTGGCTTTTGTATCTTCCTGTGCTGTCAGAGGCCTGTATTTACCATACATTATACACTTAGAAAATGACAGGCCTGTAAATCTGGCTGAAGGTAGTTTTATGGTGGTGTGAATACAAATAAATAGCATTTCCAGTGCAATACTGGGACAGTCTGAGCTGTCTTGGGTGGGGTTCTGCAATTGCAAAGACTTCCTTTCTTGTGTTGATTTTGGATTTCATGCAAACATTGTTTCTATCCTATTATTTAGCCCCTGGGATAGGACTTTTGGAATACAATGGTTTCTTGTATAAAGGCCCAGGTTTGAATCCAGCAGTGTTTCTCTCCTGTCCTATGGTTTTGCTGTGAGAGGGGAAAGAAGTGCTGGAGAAAAGAGCAGCACAGGCTCACACAGCTAATGAGAGCAGGGTGTGAAAGCGTCCTGTCTTTCCTTCCCACCAGCAGGGATGGACCCCAGAGCGAGCTGCAGCGCCGAGACACGTGGGAGGTGTCGCACACGGTTTGCTCATCACCCGTTTGCTGCAGAGGCAGCTCGTCGCTTCTCCCTGCAATGAAAGAGAAGGACAAGGGCACCTCAGGTAGAGGATTTGTGTGGCCTTGGTGACCTGGGCAGGAGCAGCGGCCACCGCGCCTCTGGGGCCAGCCAGCAGGGCAGGGGAGGCCAGAGCATCCCAGCCCCCCCGGCAGCCCAGGACCTTGAGAGCACCACGAGGGGCCGGGGTCACTCCTGGTGCAGCTCTGAGCACACCCACCCCACCTGCTCAGAGCTGAACTGCGTTTGAGAGCCCAGTCCTGTGTTCTGCAGTGAGCGAGGGAGTTGTTCACAGCATCCTGCCATGAACTGGCTTCAAAAGGCCCCTTGAGCTCTCTCAATTAATTAGTTTGATGAGGAGCTGGGTTAGTTACCAAGCCCATGAGCCTCAGAAGCCAAGTTACAGAGCAGCTGTGAACTGGTTTGTGCTCCTAGGCCAGCCCAACCAAGGCTGCTCTGCATCTCCCACATGCTTCAACAGTCTCGTGCCCTTTCCCCTTTCTTTCCTATCAAATCCCATTCCCTGGGCTGCTCTCCCTCCTCCTCCAGTGCTGCAGAGGACAGCTTTTCCCACTTCCAGTATGGTTCTGCGCAGCCACTCACCTCTCAGTGCCAGTGTGATCTGTGTTACAGAGACATCAAAGCACAGCATCCTCTGGGAAAAGGAGAGATAAAGAGAGAAGAAAATGTTCCAGAAGTACGGACAAGCAGGAGTTGTGTTCAGCCCCTTTTGGAACAATAATCTCCCGAAGGTGTTGGAGCGCTCCAGCAACGCGCAGCGGGAGCAGCCGGGGCTCTGTGCGCAGCGTAATCTGATCATGCTCTGTTTGGATAAGAAACACAGCTTCATGCTTTTCACTTGCTAGCAAAGAGATTTATTATGAAAATCAGTTCCCTGCCTCAGAGCACATAAAAAACAGTTGGCTTCATAACCTTGGGGGAAAAAAATAAATAAAGAAATCCCATGAGACACGCGTGAGAACTGAGTAAGTATTAAAACATATGTTGGAGCATATTGATCCCTGAAAGCCTCCTGCAGCAGACATGAATCTTTTTCATTTCCAGCCCCACTGATGGTTTAATGAGGATGGTGCGTGCCACTCACCTGGATCAATAATTTTTGCACATTCCTGCCAAGCTCCCACCACAGGCCCTGTCTCAGCCCAGCAAAGAAGACCTTGCCATGTTTCAGGTGAGTGATATCAAAGCTCTGCAGGGAGCACAGCACAGCCCCGGCCAGGGATCTTATCTCAGGCTCCAAGGGCTGCCACCTTCATTAAGGGACATCTGAGGGCCTACAGCTGACCTGGAGATCGGCATCCCTCCTGCTTGTTCTTGCCCATAGTAATGTCCCAGTGACACCTGGCTTGCTGTGAGCAGAGTGCCTGAAATGGACCCTTTTATTCCTCTTTCAGGTGCACCAGATTTTTCCTTCTTCTCCTCTTAAAGTGCATATGTAATAAATATAGCACAGGGCTAGGAGGATGAAAAGATGAATCACAGCTATGAAAATATTTGACTATATTTTAAGCAGGACTCCCAACAGGTACAATCATAGCCATCTACCCTGACGTGCTTCAGAGGCATCAAAAGATGGTTTTTCCACCACTGAGTTACCGTTAATTATTCTTAAAATAAAGTGCTACCATGCAGCATTAATTCAGAAGAAACTGTAAGTTCCTTGCTATTTTCTACAGCTTGTTTTCACAATGAATTAATGGGAGTTAATTTAGCAGTTCACAACAAACAGGACCACTGCAGGAATACAAACTAGGTGTTGCTTCCTGAATTCTTCCTCCCTCTTGTTAGTGCTCCTCTTTGGCTTTTATTAGGTGTAGTACAAAAGGTCTTAGTCTGGCAGAGAGTAAATTTGCTGGAAAGGCAGAAATCAGGAAAAAATACTGCATGATTTTCTCCTCCTGTGGATATTAACAGTTTGGCACAGATACATTGCTCTCTCAGTGGAAAAGAATGGTAAAAAAAGGGCTCTAATTTTTTGCAGTGTGCTAATATTAGTATCTATGAACCGTGTGGTGTTGTCATGTCTGTGTAGCATGTCCTTTGTCCAAGACTGATCCCAGTTTTCTGGAGCAAGAACCGTTTCATCCCACAGGTGGCACTTTGACTGTCGATCACTTTCTCTAAAAATGCAAGAGATTTTAGTCCTCACTGAGATGGAAAACTAAAATAAGCAATTTGGAAAGCATTCTGCATCTTGGAGAGGCTTTCTATAATTTATTCAAACTCAGCTTGAAATAGAGAAATGGTTTTACCCCCAGAAGCATCCAAAAATACATTGTGTCAGCAAGTGCCTTGTGTAGGAAAATCACCAAATCTTCAAAAGCTGCAGGTCGAGGTCACTGTGCTAACAAAGGGCTCCTTTACAGCTGCAGCTCCTGTGGAGGCCTGTGCAAGCCATGCTCAGCAAATGTTGGGGTCCAGCTGGTGTGTGGCCAAGAGGCTCTTCAACAGTAATGTCCCCACGGCCAGATAGGCATTTTGGGGTCCCTTTAGCCAGTGCAGAAGCTGTAGGGATGCACAGAGGTTCCTTGGGCATTCCAGGAGAGTAGGATGCTCCTGCCTCCTGGCTCAGGCTTAGTTCTCTGTGGTGCCAGAGAGGGGAGTTAATGTTTACTGCAGCGGGCATCCGCTCTAGAAGGTCACAAGGACCAGGAGGAACGTCCCAAGCTGTGTCAGGGGAGGTTTGGACTGGACACTGGGGAATTTTCTCCACGGAAAGGGAGTCCAGCCCCGAGCAGGTTACCCAGGGCAGTGGTGGAGTCCCATTCTTGGGTAGATTTGGGAGACATGCAGGTGTGGTACCTGGGGATGGGGTTTAGTGGTGGCCTTGGTTTAGTGCTGGGGGAACAGTTCCACTTGGGGTCCTAAGTAGCTTTTCAGCCTCCTTAACTCTGATTCCATAAAGCTGTTGAAGGTGCTTCTGTCCTTCTGGGAGACCGTGAGTAGAGCAAGTTGGGGTTTCATTTCCATCAGGAGCAAATCAAGTCAGTCTGGAAATGCTGCCTGTGTGTTTTAAAGATCTGTAGCAGCAGTTGTAGAGACTGGGGGCGGGGAGAATGGCACACAGAGAAAATTTCATTCAAGCAATTAAGGAATCACCACACTTTTATGATTAACTTCTTGTTCCCAGGCTGCATGCAGAAGCTGTTAGTGGGGGCATTGCTATTCCATACCTGGCACGAACAATGGGAATATTTGTTCTGCCCGGGAGGATTACACCTTCCATTAATCTAAGTTTTATTGAAAGTTTAAATAACAGACAGACAAAATTTGATCAATTAGCAGTGTAATTCCAAGGAGATGTCATGGTGAAATTAAATCTCAAGCATTTTCAATGCAAAGAAACCTAGGAACTCCCTCCAGTTTTCTTTCTCAGTACAGTGTTTAGATTTTAATTGAAAGTTTATTCTGCTTTGTGCATCTTCTAGTAAATTTTAATTTCAGACTGTAATGAGAACAGTTTTCTATTGCAGTGTTTGTAGCATTTCTCAGATAGATCAAAGATGCCTCATAAATGAAGAAAAACAGGTTTGTGCAGAATCCACTAGCCATGGGAATCTCCAGGAGGAAAGAGGTTTATGTGGGGAAAAGGAGAGGGGGTTGGTGCTGTGGTGAGGAAGGATGCATGGGGAGCCAGGTGGCTGAGGTTGTTGTGCCCACGTGCTCAGACCCTGGGGCTCACTCGGGGCTCCTGCAGGGCCCACCCGTGCCAGAGAGCCAGGGCTATTCTCCTGCTCACCCCACCCCAGACAAAAGCTGCTCCCTGAGCCCACCTTGGCACTGCTGCTCTCTGCTTCCCAGCTGCCGTGGTCCCCTTCCTGCCATCCCTCCATTTCGGCTTTCATTTCCTTACGTAATTTCTCTGTCCCCAGTGAAGTGTTATTGCCATCATTACTGCTCCACATGTCTTCCATTTTTCTTATCATAAATGTCATTCTCATACTGCAAATACCAAAAATGCCACAACCTTCCTGTGAATCTATCTCAGCGCTATCTTTGGAGACATACCTCATCTGAAAAGAAGTAATACTGAAAATAGCTGTATATTTTTGGATGTATATTTTTGTCTGGATGGATGTCAGGGATCAGCTTATCGGGCAGCTGAAGCAATGCAAATCCCCAGTCTGCACAGGTCTAGTTTGGTTTACACAATAAGAGTTTCTGGTCAAACCTGGGCCTTGGTACCCTAACAAAAAGCTTCCCAAAAGTGACAAAGACCCCAGATTTAACAGAAGATAGTGGTGAGGAAAGGTTTCTCAGCAATGGTGGAGGCGCAGAACACAGCAGCAGGACTGAGCTGCCGCGTGTGCAGCACTTGGGCTGTGGTGGCAAATCACTCTGGACTGTTCCCCTGTCAGTCACCGTCAGATGAGCAAATGCTGGGAGGAACTGGTGCTTGTGAAAATTAATAGACGTGGCTGCACATTCCCAGCATCCGATTATCTGTAACTGTACCTGCCAAGCCAATCTGTTTGTGAATCCTGAGGCACCGGGCAGCTGGAGCCCTGGCTGGGGCACACCAGCCCTCTGTGGCATAATCATGCCTGGGAGGTGAGGATTTGGGGTTTCTCAAGAAGTAATTTTTCTTGGTAAAAGCAGTGATTAACCTTGCTTCAGTCACGAGCAGTGGTATTTAAAACAACAACAAAAAAAAGGCAGCTGAGAGCTGCCTGCAGCTTGGCTCGGGCAGCCGCTCCTCCATATGGCGTGTGAAATGCCAGCACATGAAATTAACTCTCATAAATAAGTAATAAGGGCTGATTTGCCCAGATCTGGATGGGCTGGCTTCCTGTGGAACACAGCCCTTAACCGTCAGCATTAACCATCATTGTAGCTGCAGGTGTTGGAGGCCACAGAGTTCCGACAAAACGTGTATTCCAGGGAGAACTTGGAAGGAAAAAACCACTTTGAGAAGGGGCCAGCATTCCAGCCTCATTCCAGGATGCTCAAGGAGGAGTGCCTGTTTGTGTTTTCAGAATTGAATGTTTCAGTTTTCTGACATTTTCCACAAGTCAGGCTCGAGTGAAATTATATTTTGTTCTAACAGAGCCTTTGAAGTAACGAAATTTTCCCTCTTCCAGGGGACTCCTTGTACGGGAGTTCTTTTTCCTCTCCAGAACGTGAGAAAATTGAAATAATGAAACTTCCTCTGAAAAATCAGAAAGATTTGTCCCACATCACATATCTCATGTAATCTTTCACTGACAGTACAGGGGGTTCAGACTGAAAGCCCTATTCTTGCTAGAACAGAAGAAATTCAGTATGCAAGATGGTGGCAAGATTTTAAGTAGAACTCTAGGACTTAGAGTTGCCCATCTCTGACAAAAAAAGTTAAACAGAAATAGTCAAATTCTCACAGACCCTGGTGACTTGGGACAGCAGGTTTTCAGCTCATCTGCAAGAGGCCTTGCCAAGAGCCTGGTGTCCACTCACAGCATGCATCGGGTCAGGTACTGACCCGGCTGAAAGGGCCAAGCACCAGTGCCTGAATCCCCCTCTCCAGCAGCACCATGGGTTCCTGGAGGCCTGATCCTCAGAAACAATGGAATTTTTCTTCAGTCGCCATCAGTGAAGTGGGAGCAGTGTCACTGGGAGTTGGGCATTGATGGATGGTCCCTGAAGTGCAGCAGCACAATCTGTCAGGGCTGAGGTTAATGGGGGGAATAGAAATAGCCCGAGCCTGCACAGCTGACATCATGTGCTAAATTAGCTGAAAACCAGCTCACAGTGTACTCCTGCTCCTCTCTTCACTGTCATTGACCCCGTGCCCATCTGCAGCACGGCACAGCCTGGCATCCACACGGAGCCTCGGGCAGCTCTAGGGGCCAGTGTGCAGGGCTGGCACTGCCCGGCTCTGCTGAGGCTGGGGCACCCCTGGGCACTGCCATGGCACAGGCACAGCGTCACCCTGCCCTCATCTCACTGGGACACCCCCTGGGCACTGCCATGGCACAGGCACAGCGTCACCCTGCCCTCATCCCACAGGCCGGGCTGCAGTTTGTCCTCTGACACTAACAGGGCACAGAGGGGCACCCCCAGAAAAGGGGAAATCCCGCTCAGAATTCGTTGCCATGTGCTGAGAGTGTCCCACAGGGCACACTGACTGTGCATCCCTGTCTCTTCCCCAGGCTCTGGTACCACCGTGGCCTTCAGAACCTAGCTCACTCTCCTGCCAGCTGGGAATGCTTGAGAAATGTTCCAAATGCATTTGGTATTCCACTGCAAAGTGCCACCTGTCCTGGAGACCAAACTAACCCACAGCTGAGAAAATGGAAAACCAGGAATTTCGTTATTTAATGGCTTCAAATCCTTTACTGCTTAATTCCCATTTATAGCATAAATACTGAAGAAAATCAAGGTATTTTAAGAGGAAAAACAGATCCTAATTTCTGTTGATGTCTTGTTCTCACCTTACAGGAAGAAAGGTACATTCAGAGGCTGCGTTTGGCTCAGGAGGCACCACTGCAATGAGAGGCTTCAGCTCTTCCCACGGGTGTGATAATTCACAGTTTAAATAAGTTTTTCCTGTCCTGAAGGTAAAATACAACACAGAAACTGCCACGAGCATTTTTTTTGGTTTGTGGTTGCAGCATGGCCTTTTCTGCCCCTTGGACATATGCCATGAATGCTTTAATCCTGGCAAGGGTTTTATCTTAAACAGATACAATGAGGGATCTGAGAAGTAGGTCAGGGGACATTAGAGGCTGTTTGATTCATTGAATTGTGTGCATAGCACGCTTTCAGGCCTGAAATGTCATTACCTGGATGCGATGAAGCTGCTGTTTTGTTTTAGAAAATAGTCAAATGGATGGTTAGGAGGAGAAAGGAGAGAGGAAGGACTGGGTTTCTGGGGACCAAACCCATTTCAAGCAGGAAGCCACCACCCCAAGCAGGTGCCTGAGCCTCGTGGTGGCAGCAGGGACCAGCAGCACCCAGAGGGGCAGGGTGGGGCTCTGGGGTGGCCATGGGGTTACCGATGTGGGAACAGGGGAGCTGCAGCTGTCGCCTCTGCTGGCAAAACAGTGCTTGGGGACTCCTGACATCCTTTCCAAAGTATTGATGATATTTTTTTTCCCCCTCACAGTGCTTTACCACTCTGTGTCTGTCCAGGGTGCAGAGTTTTCATTTCTTTTAATGGTTCTCAAGAAATTATTGAGAAATAAAAATGCATTTCAAAGTTATCTTCAAGGCTTACTGTGGTTCACATGGTTTCTTTAAATCCACAGTGCATATGCTATTTTTCAAAGCTTTACTGGTCCCCAAACGATTGTAATGGCATGTTGACTGGCTTTACTGGGGCCTTGAGAGTTTAGAAAGGAAAAAAGTAACTTAGCAAGGGAAAACCCTGTAAATATATATACAGGAAAGTTTTTAGAGTTCATCTAATCTGTCTCTAGTTTTGGTATTTCTAAACCAGGCACTGACATCAAGGTTAACAGCACTTTCCTGCTCTGGGAATGTTGCAGCAGCCAGTTGACTGGAGCTCCTTGATGCCTTAAGAAGAAAGCCCACCCATCTGACAGGGCTGGTGCAGCCCTCAAGCTGCTGAAATCACTGCCAGGAGCGAGAGCTTGGCCTCTCTGCACTCTCTGCAACTGCTGGAGAGCCTGGGATCCTGAAATGTCCCTGTAACAGCATTAATGCAAGATGGATATAGCTCCATACCCTGGATCTGCTTAACCTGATAAATAGTTTCAGTTAATGGACAGCAAAAGGAATGATGCTCAGTAAATTTGATTTTATGAGCCTTTCACTTATTTGCTGTGCCCATTAGGTCGGAAGTTAGGTAATGGTGAGTGTCCATTAGTGCATTAGCTCAGTGATGAGGGAGCTGAGTTGGAAAAAAAAGAAAATGGTGGGAGACCGCCTGAAGCCAGGTGTATTCATTAAACCTTTGCTCGTTAGTGGTGGCTGTGGTGGACGCTGGAGAGGCATCGGAGTTTGGTTCAGGTGGGAGAACTGCAACCCCTGCATCCCCTTCCTGCTCCCACAGCACTGGGTCCTTGTTTCTGCTGCCGTGGGGAGCCTGGGACAGCCAGGGGGCTGCGGGGCAGGGATGGGGCTGCTCGTGTGCTCCTGTCCCAGGGCTGCTGGGATGGGCAGCCTGGGGCTGCTCCTTGCACTCACAAACGCGTCACCCAGCTTGTGACAACCACAATAGCCATTTCACTGATTACCCTTTCTTTTACTCACTTCCTTTGGATTTTTTTTCTCTACCCAGGTAAATTAGTTTTTAAAGTCTCTTTTCCCAATTTCTTCGTTACCCTGGGATTATTTACACAGCCCACAAAAAGCTGTTTACTCTTCTGGGTAATTCAATGAACATTCACTTGCTTTGAATTAATATGCAGTGTTGTTCCAAGTGCTGGCAATTTAGTGGTAATTGGAACATCTCCTTACCCTGGGAAAAACATCCAGCCTCCCAAGTTAGTTTTCACAAGTGGCATTAATGCAGCAAGAGAGCCAAATTCCCTTGTATATGTGCTAGCAAGGAAATATGGGGCTTTGTTAGCAATTACTAGGTAAATTTTCTTTCCCTCACCTCCTGGTGGTGCTTCTCTGTAGCAGTGAGGGCTGTTCAGGTGGCTGGGGTCTGTGTCCCACCGCTGCCAGGGCTGGATGAGTGGTGCTGTGGTGATTAAGCAGTTTGCCCGTGATGTGTTACAGGTGCTGGAAAAGAGTTTGGTGGGTAAAAGGGGTTTGCAGCAGTGTGTGGAGGAGCAGGCACAAAGAACCTTTTCAGCAGCAGTTTGATCTCACCTGGATGCACATCAGAGGTATGTGTTGTAAGCTATGGGTGAGCCCTGCAGAGAGCTTTGCCTGCAGGATTTGGTAGGGATGTCTGTAATTGCAGCAGCCCAGGCTCAGCTGGGGATTGAGCTCCCTCAATAGCAGCACCAGCCCTCAGCAGGCATTTCCATTTCAATCTGCTGGCTGCACTCTGGCCCCAGACAGGCCATGGCTGTGACAGAGACCTGTCTGTGAAGCTAACAGAACCTGATAGACAGAAAATGAAATCTGTTTGCTCTGCTCTGTTGTCTGCTCGCTTCCCTCATTTGGTTCTGCTTACAAGGGCTACTCAGGACGCTAACCCTTCTCCAGGGGTCTCCCCAGCAATGGAAACAGCTTTGTTAGGGACTAAGGCAGGGAAAGAGACAATAGCTTGCATTTGTTTGACACAGTTTTGAGGTCCCAGTGGGAGCACTTTGAATCTGTGCAGTCCAAAGTGAGGGTTCTGTGCCTTTCAGAGCCTTTTCCTTCCCTTAAACTTTTCACCCCATGTATAACCTCCTGCCTAGGCAGGACATGAGGCTCAGCCAGAAGGGAAGACAAAATGTTGTGGGGTTAGTTAAACTCCCAGGTGGGGTTTGCTGCTGGATGTGGCTGTGAGAGCAGCTCCCCTGTGGGATGACAAGTCTCAGAGCAACAGGGCCCTCCAACAGCCTCTCCTGCTCTCAAGACATTCTTTCTCTCATCACATTTACTGTAGAACTGGTAAACTAATGATGAAAATATTTTTGTTGATTTTTATGCTTTGCTTTTGACCTGTGAAAATGTGTTTACAGCAGGATTTGCGTTAACACCCTGAGAATAAACAAGTGTGAATATGGCACTGATCATGCTAGCACAAAAATTAATGTTGCATATGCAACATTAAATACCACTAAAGAATTTAATTTAATTATGGAATCAGGCCTTATGGAAGCCAGCAAGCTGGCAGCCCAGAGAGGTGAAATCTTCTGGCTGTGGCATGAGCTGAGCACACAGGATCTCACTGAGAGCTGCTGCATGGGGCACACCTGCCCTGCATGGGGCACACCTGCCCTGCATGGGCACACCTGCCCTGCATGGGCACACCTGGCCCTGGTGGCAGGCGACAGAGCGGGGTCCATGTGCTGCCAGCCCTGTCCTTCTCTGCATGAGCAGGGGCTGCAGTTACAGAAGGGGCCCAGTCTGGGACAATATTCAGCTTTACAAATTCTCTGGGTGGAAGTAGCTTCCGGTCACTGGAATCGATCTGGGGACAGCGTAAACCCACAGTCTGGAGCAGAAACCCTTCAGACCCAGTTAGAAGGCCCTTGAGCTCACAGGTGCACTCCAGACTCCCTGGCACCTGCTCGTGGAGGCAGCAGAGCTCAGGGCTGCCCAAGAGGTGTCGTCCATCCCCTCATGCCCTCCACAGCCCTCTGCCAGCCCCCGGGGGCTCGTGGCCCTGCCTGCAGCCCCGTGCTGCCGTGGCACTGGCTCTCCTGCAGCGTGGGGCCTGCCACAGCTGGCATCTCCGCTCTGGGCCTCGGCCCTGGAGACGGTGTGGCTGTGGGCAGTGCCCACACCGCTCAGATGAGGACTCCCACCCAGCACAGTCCTTGCCCCCGAGACTGCATTCACAAAGGGTGATTAATGCAGTCTTTGGGAGAGCACATTGACTGAGACATCCTATTTACAGAGAGCTTCTTAGTGGTGTCCTCAGGAGAACAGGGAGCCAGACAGCGTAGAGTGTGTTGTTAGTAATGTAAAAGGACATTGTTATTTGTATTGCACCACTGAACTCCATTATATCTTTTATTTTCCTTGTTTCCAGGACAAATGCAGTTCCCTGTGAAGCCACCACCAATTGGCACCCATTGACAGGTCACCAGTGCAGGTTTTATGCCACAAAGGAAAGAGGCTGCTCTGAATGCCAGCAGTACCTGGCTTACAGTGCCACTGACTCAGCATGAGCTGCCTCCTCAGCTCCCACAGCTGCCCTGGTCCTCACTGGCCGCCCTGGGCACTGCCAGCAAAGCCACCTGAGCTGGCAAGGGTGGCAATGCCCAGGGACGGGGCCTCTGGCAGGACCTTACCCTCAGGCCAAGGTCTTTTTCCTCTGCCGGTTTTCAGTGGAGCTTTCCCTGCTCATCCCCTTGCCTGCTTGTTGCTAGAGCTTGTCACAAGCACGGGGGGTCTCTGCTGGTCACTTGGTCCCTGTCCCCTCCCAGAGCAGGTCCTGGCTGTGGGGCCATCCCTGGGGCAGGGCTGGGACCACCTCACACACGTTCCTTGCAGGTCCCTTGGCAGAGCTCTGCAAGCAGCTGCTTCCCTCTCTCTCTGCATTAAGATTAATGTTTGAACAGCAGTTGTCCCATCCATCTCTCTGGGAGGCTTCCTCCAAACAAATAGCAGGAGGAGGTGGCATCTATTTGGGAATGACAGGGCTTCAATCTATTTATTCCACAGGTAACTGCTCTCTCCTGAAATGTCAGATTGACTCTTCATCTTCCACGGGCTGGGTGCGAGCGCGTGTGGCGGGTACAGCCCGCCTCCCTTCCTCTGCAAGGAAAAAGAGTCACTGAGATTGATTGCACAATTGAATATGCAGCATGGTAAACAGTTATTTGGAAATTATTGTTTGTGTTTAATTATGACATACAGAAGTTTAACAGTCATAAATTTTTCATTGGAGTTGGAATGCAAATGTAAGCTTTAACGTGCATCAAGGAAAGACACAAATCAGCACTTGCACAGCACAGCTCTGGGGCCAGCAGCCCCACACTGCTCATGGGCATCCCCCTCCTCAGCATGGTGGGCCAGAGCTGTCAGTGAGCTGGAGTGGCTTAGAAACCAGAGGTTGCTTATTTCTGCTTGGTTTGTTCTCTGCATGAATCCTTACGGCAGAGCAGAGGCTGTACAGGCACTCAGGGTTTCACTGCCCCCTGCGCTTTTGGGGTGCAGCCAGGGTGGGGAAGGGCCTGTGGGTGTCACCTCCATCCTGGCAAAATAGGAAAACTTTCTGGTTTCATGAAAGTGGCTTTTCAGCACTTTTGCTGCTGGCAACAATTCTTTCCAACAATTATCAGATTCATTTTCCCCATCTTTTCTCTCTTTTTATTCCTTTCTTATCTCTTTCTTCTCCTTCCCCCAGCACATGCACATGGACACATGCTGTAGCTCTTGGCAATTGAAGAAAATGAAAAATAGATATGTAGAGGGAAAAAAGTTTAACAGCAAGAAAAGATATGCTAGAAAAGAGGGTGGTAATAAAGGAATCTAATTAAAATGGAAAATTTCTGTGGGAAAAGGAAGCAGTGTTGGGGGAGGCAGAGGTAGAACATTGTTTCTATCCAGCCTGCTCTTTTGGGGGAAGAAGCAGCATTTCCCAGCTGATTAAAAACTGGCATGATAATGACAGTTGAGTATTTTTCTGTCTTTGTATTTCTGAAGCAAATCTCTCGTGGGACAAAACATATCACTCAGTGAGTTGCATAACGTTTAATTCTGTATTAGGCAAAGAACAAGCTGTGTCTGTGTTGTACAGTTCACACATGAGCAGAAAGGTGAGCTCACGTTTTCTAGCACCCACTTGTGCCTCCAGAGACAGCAGGTTTGGGCAGGATTTTAGGGAGAGACAGGAGTCCACAGGGTCTTGTGACTGCTTCAGGGTTAGCAAATGGGGTATGGAGATCTCAAAATAGAGTGCAGAGAGGGCTGACCTGCAGCTGAAGATGTGTTTGAGGAGTGCTGACCTCGCCATCAAAGCTTGAGATGAAATATCTCCCCAGACGAGTTCTGTTTATGATGTTCTCCAGCCATTTCACCAACAATACTGTGGCCAGTGGAGCTGTGATTTACTGCACAATGGCAGAGGTGGCCACCCTGGGCAGGGGGAGAGCAAGGGTCACAGCACTGGGGACATGTCCTGCAGCCCGTTCAGCACTGAGCTGTGGCAATCAACACAGAGTGGCCCAGACACATCACAGTGGGGCAGGGGGGCTGACAAGGTGCATAAATGGCACTGGGCTGTTTGTATTTCTGCATATTGTGACTCTGCGTAGCTGTCAAATGACCCATGGCTAATCTCACTGATTTAGGCATTTCTTTGTTCCTTGACTGATAAGGGTGACAGGGGAATCTGTGGCCCTTGGGACACGATGATTCAGCTCTGGGAAAACAAGTTCTCCAAAGAGGAAACTGCCTGTGGGAAGTGGGGTGGGAGTGCTAAACCAGAGATGTGGCAGTGGGAATGGCTTTCCTGGGCTTTGCCTTAAGATTATTCCTTGCTGCCTGTCACTTCTTGGTCCTCTTCCCATGTTCTGGTTGGAAGGACACCTTTGAAATGAGGGATGAGTCATAATGAGAAAATAAACGCAAATTAATCAAAGATGACACTAGAAATTATGTGAAACATAATTTCTTTGGCATAGTGTTCCAACGTGGGGGGGTCTGTGTGTGTGTGTGTGTACACAGGCACACCAACATGAGCCGTCACCATTCATCGTTACAGTGCTCACAAAAGGCTTTACAAATATGAACACCAACAGCTCCCACACAGAGCTCTGGGTGACCTTCACTTGGGGCTCTGCAGCTGGATTCAGAAGCCATTGGTTTGCTTGCTGTCTGTCAATTTTCCTTTGTGCTTTCATGAGTGGCAGCAGCAGTGGCAGTGACAGCCATTCCCCAGTGAGCAGCAGAGCCTGAGGACCAGGAAGGTGATGGTGAGAGGCACCTGGGGTGGGCTGGGGGAAAAGGGGTAAAGGAGGAGTGATGTGGTACTCAGGCTGTGTAGCTGCAGTGGAAGGGAAATGCTCTTAAAGAATTGGGTGTGGTTCTGAAAACCCAGACTGGGGATATTTCATCGTGGAATGCAATTACATTCCTGTAAAATCTTTCACTGGCATGATGCTGGATGTGGAGGTGAGCACCAGAGGCTTTCTGCCCACAGCTTTGCAGAATTCAGTCAGCTTGTGAGTGAGCAGTGATGCACGAATAACCAAGGGACAATGTGTGTCCTTTCATGAGCGTTCATGCTAGATCTGTGTCCTGAGAGGAAAACAATGTTTGGGTCACAGGACAGGGCAGCAGCAACCTTAAATCCCACGGGAAATAAAAATGAAAGAAGCGCTGATATTGAGAAGTTCCCCAGTCAGAGGTGGTGTATCACAGTTGTTCTCTGTTATAAACACCACCTTGAGCTCTTGCAGCTCCAGTAAAGAGAAAAGTAAAATGAAAACACTGTAATGGGTTAGAAGATGCTGAACGAGACAGCTCCATTCAGCATCAGTCTGTGACGTGTCAGAAGTGGCAAAATGTTTCACTGTGCCAGTTATTAAAAATGAAGAAATTGTGCGCAGGGTGAGGTGTGGTGGTGATTGATTGTGTGCTCAGAGCTCACCGGGTCAGCCTGAGCCAGGGCATTGCCCACTCGGTGACACGGCAGGAGCCGCAGCCAGCGCCACCACGCTCACAACTGTTTCCACTACTCTGCTAAAATAAACACCTCAGTTCTGCCAAAACATATTAAAGGTAACATGAGTCACCACTAAGGCAAACAGAACGAAAATTCCCTTGAAGGAAGTGAGCACAAACATAACTAAAAGCAGTAGATTAAAGATTGAAATATAAACTGCAGATGACAGACAAACTTCAAATTTTTCTTGGTGATTTTCCAGAGGAAATGCATTTATCATGTCTTATTCATTGTGCACTCTGTCTTCCCCTTGCAGCATCTCACACTGCCCTCACAGCCTTTATTTGCCAAAACTCCATCCCCACGCCCTGCTGGATGTGATTATACCCGTACCCCTATAAAATCTGTGTGTATGTTTCTAGAACAGTTATACATTTTGCCTTTTTTGGGGGGTTATGTAGTGTATGCTGCATGCCGTGGGCAGTGGATGGGCTGCCCTCTGCAGCCAGGGAGCTGCAGGGTTGCACACACGGACCCGCTGCTCCAGGGTCGTGGGCAGCAGTGGCACTGCCACCTCTGCCAGCCCCGCACGTGCTGTGCCCCCTGCCACAGCAGCCCTGCGTGCTGAGTCACTCCTTCCCGGGCAAATACCAGGGTAAAGAGACATGACATTTTCTGGGCCGTTCTTCTGTATTAATAAGATTCCAACTACAGGGTGACCTTTTCACAAAGGATTTGTAAATGCCAAAAGCTGCATAAAAATCTCTCTTTCTCAGGCAAACAGAGGCATCATAACTTTGCATTTATTTCTTAAATGGTGTTTTCCTGTCTTTTCCTCTTTGATCATCTCTTTCCCCTGAATGGATGTAGTGACAGCTGTGCCTCCAATAACAGCTGTGAAAAGGAATGAGAGAAAATCAGTGATTGAATCACTGCCTGCTCGGGGGATCGTTCTGCTCAAGAGGCTGGATGAATGAAAACAAACAGGGCAGGGATGGTGCCCCTGCAGGACAGGGACCACAGAGCTTTGGCATGGGGAATGCTGGGTGCCACTCCCAGCTTGTGTAAGCAGAGCTGACACTGTTTCTTGAACCACATTCACACACAGAAAACAGGAAAATCAGCACAAACCAACAACATGAGGCTTTTATGTTACATTGCATATAGGGTATCTGATTTATCAAATAAATGCTGCCTTTGCAGCAGGCTTTACACCCTCTTTGGGTGTATTTCCAAACATAGGAAAATAATAACAGCCAAACAAAAACCTAACAGAACAAAAGGCTTATAACTGTGCCAATGGAAAGCTGAGGCTTCATCCAAGAGCAGGGCACTGGCATACATCACCACCACCACCCTGCACTGTGCCAAAGGCCCCAGGACCTTGCCTGATCTCTTTGGTCAGACTTTGAGTGAGCTTGGCGTCGCCCTGAAAATCACTGCATTGCCTTAATTAATACATGGTGTAAGGAAACTCTTGCACCTTTTTGTTTCACCTCCATGGTTACCTTTTTCCTTTGTCCTCTTTCTGCATTTCTCACGTCTTTTCATTACCAACTAACATAATTTAATTCTTTCTCCCTTTTGCAAGAGTCCAGAGCCTGCATTTGTCACTGGCAAGTGTTCAGCTTTTCCTAAACTGCAGCTTAAAAAGGAAAAATTGAGGCTGGATCTGAGTCAAATGCAAGTTTCATACTTTAATGTTTTATCACCCCAAAATATCATTCTGCTTTTAATTTCCTGAGTGATTCTTGCGCCCAGCTCAGCAAATGCTAATATACTCCCCCTGATTCCCACTCTGGTTCCTCCCAGGTTTTCTCCTCTTCCCTCCCATTTCCTTGAGAAGTGTCTGATCAAAAGGAGCAACAAACTGTAGGTGGATTCCTAAGGTGTCACATCAAATATTGAGGGTTGATACGAGAACAGGAAATATGTCCCCAGTTGAGTAGGAATATATGCCAGGTAAACATGAAATCAGCAAAACCTTTTCCCCAATGCACTGGTGAATTACCTGGAAGTCTGCATGTCAGTTGCCTGAACTCTGGATCAGGTTCTTCAGCCAAGCCAGGACAAACCTTCCCCTGATGGCTCCTTCTGTGCTGTTATCCTTGGAACTTTTGCATCAGAGTCCAGGTTTCCCTTCAGCAGCACACAGCATCGCTCCTTGTTCTGCTGCACTGACTAATGAGAGTAATTGGTCTCTGTCCTCTTCATAATGTCCCTCTAAGTATTTGCAAAGAGTTATCATGGCTCCCTCCAGTCCTCTTTTCTCTTCACATAAAGATTCTCAATTCATTTTAATTTGTCCTCCCTGACCCTCCCTCCCACTCCCACTTTATATATCAAATAATGGAACCCAATTACCTCGCAGGCGAGAATGGAGCCGGGGACAGCAGAGTGCCCTGGAAAGGCAGCGGTGGGTTCTGCAGTGCCCAGCAGTGCCCTGGTGTGAGCCCCTGCCCAGGCTCTGCAGCTCTGCTGGGCTGAGGGGCTCTGCAGCATCCCAGCCTGCTCAGGAGCCACCACAGCACCAGCCGGGCCCTGCTGGGCATTGCCGGGCACTGCCGGGCACTGCTGGGCACTGCTGGGCACTGCCGGGCATTGCTGGGCATTACTGGGCACTGCTGGGCACTGCCGGGCATTGCTGGGCATTGCTGGGCACTGCTGGACATTGCTGGGCATTGCTGGGCATTGCTGGGCACTGCCGGGCACTGCCGGGCATTGCCAGGTCCTGTGGCACACCCAGCTGGGCTCCTGAAGATCCCAGCATTATTTTGGGTTTACATTTCATGTTCATCTGCCCTTCAGGTTTTTGAGGGATTGTTTTTCCCTTTGTGCTTCTTCAGTTATTTGGATGATATTTTATCACTGCAGTCAAGTAATTGCACTGGCACAATATGAGCATTAACATTTGCAGTGTGAATTGAGAAAAAACACCATCTTTAAGCCTCCACAGCAGAAATGTTCCTCAGCAGCAAATGAAAGTGCCACAGCCCCAGCTTGGAAATCCCTGCTTCTCCTCCAGGACTTTGAACTTGAGCACCTCCACCAGCAGTACCACTAACAAACACCAAAGTCAAACACTCTTTTTGCAAACAGACACCCAGTCCTTGTGATTTCAGATGTGATTTTGTTTCCTGATTTTATCTGCATGAGCAGTTTGAATGGTTTTATAATTTGCCTGTGCTTCCATTTTATCACATCTGCCTCCCATCTGTTATTTTTATGGTTTGCATTCCCATTCTCCTCTCCTAATGCCAGCAGCTTGACTGTAAAGCTGATGGCACATCCTAGAAACTTATCACCTCTCCCCCAAAAAAAATGTCTTGTGCAGGATGGCATACCATCCTGAGAACCACCTGGAGAAGGACGGGTGGATCTGTTATTAATGATTTTCTTTAGCGAGACCACAAAACCACTGCCCTTGGTGCAGGTGCATGCTCTCTTCTCACTGCACCTTGCAAAAGTCCCACTGAAGGAACAGAAACCAAAAGTAAACAAAACCTTAGTGATTCAGGGGCGTTTATCTGTTGTATCCCATGGCACTGGGGACTAAACAGGAACAGAGTGAGCACGCCAGGGCTCCAAGCTCTCCCCCAAGGCTCCTCCCAAAGACAGGGATCTGTGGGAGCAAAGAGCGGGTCCCAGGGATGTTCCATGAGCTGCCCAGGGCTGCACAAGGGAGGGGGAAATTGAAAACCAGCCTCTGGACCCCCAGGCTGGGCAGTTCCCTGTCTCTCAGAAGATAAATGAGTGATTTGGTCACTGTACCATGACAGCAATGCTCCTCCTGAGCGTTGCAGTGCATCCCTGGGCAGGGATCCTGCCACAAAACAGCTTGGAGTCAAAGTCAGCTCACTGCAGCTCTCACAACCCTGGCTCTGGTCTGCAGAGCCCACAGAAGAAATGTGAAAGGGGCTGCAGGACTTGTGCATTGATGCCAGCTTGGCATCAGGTGGAAGAACCATAAAGTGCAAAATAAATACAGAATTTCCCTAACGTTGTCTCCAATACTCAATGCTCAACCTCCTATAAACAACAGATGAGTCCTGCACGCGCCACGGGTTTGGGCCAGTTAAAATTTTCACTTATTTGTGGCAACACAGACTTCTTCTCCTTCTTTTATAATTTTCCAAGCACATGTATAATTGGCTCTGGCCTGCTACCAAGAGGTTTATTAGAGCGGCAAGGGATGAAACTAATGATTGTTAAGAAGATCTAATCCAAGGATACTGAGTTGTTGATTACACATTTATGGCTGCTAACCAGCAGCTCTCGAATAAGGGCCTGTGGATTTGTTTACCTTGCCAAGGCACCAAGACGTACCCAGTCACTAAAACGCAGAGGCTGAGGCAGAAATCAATACAGAGCTGCTGAACACCCTCCTGTGCAGCTGGGGGAGACTAATTGCTGATGAACCTATGAGACCAATAAAAATGTGCATAATTTAAATTGTATTAAAACCATAAGCTGCTAAAACATCAATATTTAAACACCATCCCACCATCCCCTGCAGTGTCACCAGGGATCTTACAGGAAGAACAGATATTGCTGAACATTAAAGCAACAAAGGCGAAAGAATTGCCTGAAATATTTCTTTCACCAAATTTCTGACATGGATTTGTATAAAAGTGTCTCATGGAAGAATTTGGCCCCGGGTGTTCTTCCTCCTGGTGTAAGAGCAGGTGCTGGAGCTGCAGTGCAGGAGGAGTTCACTGAGGGCTGACCCTTCCACAGCAGGGTCCACTCCCAGTCTGTGGCCATCCTGGCACTGCTCAATCCAGAGCGCACCTGCTGAGAATAATGCATTTATCACCACGATTCTACCTGGCTGTGCTCTACAAGGTGTGCACGTGGCAAACCTCCATCATTTTCTCAGACACTCTGGGATACATACCATGAAATTTAACAAGGTGTGTCCTATACAGGGCTGTAACATTGCAGCTGTGTGCACTAATTAGATAACGCTCATTATTGTTCGTTCAATTTGCATTTGCAGAGGCGGTGCCAGCCTGGCTGCCGGCCCTGATTGATTGCTCCCACTTTGCCTTCATTAGGAAGGTGGCCTCAGCACAGTGGTTTTACAGCGTGTTTGCTGCCACTTGACTGGATGTGCCAGTCAAATGCCTTGAACTGTGGCTCTTGATTAACAACATTTGCCAGTGCAGTGCCGGCTGTTTGAGCAGCCTGACAGGCAGCGGTGGGGCTGGGCGAGCGCTGCTCCCACTCCTGCAGGAACTGTGGCACAGGGGCTGGGGACAGCTCGCCTGCACACCAGGGCCATCAGTGCCCGTGTCCCCTGCCCACCTCCTGCACTCAGACGGGACTGACAGAAATAAACGGGCCTGCCAGAGGGTTTGGCTTTGCCAGACAACGCGGAGCCCGTGAAACCGGGCACGTACAGGTCTCAGTGACCTCTGAGATTTCTGCTTCCTGTCCCCTCACAGATGCGGAGCAGGGTTTTCTCTGGTCCATCCCATCTCCCCCTCCACTCCAGGCATCACCTCGTGGGATCAGTGCAGCCAGGGGCTCAGCTCTTGCCTGGGTTTCTGTAGCAGCAATCAGCCTGGAAGCACCCATTGCCCCAGCCCAGGGACCCCCGGCCCCTCTGGTCCCAGGGCCCTCCTGTCCTCCCCAGCTCAGCCCTTGGCCACCAGACTGCCAAAGGAGGATGCTGGGCCTGCAGGGAGCCTGCTCTCAGCCCATCCATGACATGGGACAGCTGCTTCCCTGCCAGAGCAAGGGCCCTGCATGGCAAGGTGATGCCATTCACTGCTGGACTGACGTGGGGGATTTTTCCTCACGCTCAGTGACACAAGGCAGCTCCACAGCCAGCGCCTTCAGCAGATGAATTGTCGCTCCAGCTCCTTCCAGGGTGAAACACTGCCACTTTTCCCTTTTGCATATGCAGCACGCACTGGGGAGTTCAGGTCTGTGCACAACAGATTTATTCATCAGTAATCGTTTCATTTCTGCAAAGGAAATATGTTCCACTGCTCCTGCAGCTGACAGGCTCTGGCATCAGTTGGAGGCTGAGGTTCCAAAGGAGGCAGAATATGTTTATGGGATGAACCACAGCTGTTTGCAGTATTCCCCTGCCCTAGCAATTATTTTAATAGAAAGAATTCCTGGAGGGTTATTTGGCTTCACACGGTGCACGTCGTGTTCACAGCCACTAGTTCAGGTATCAGGCGAGAGAACCTCTGAAGACAGTTCTGCTCCTATAAAGCATTTTTTAAAAAAGGCAGCAGGTTGAATGCTGCAGCCAGCTCACACACCAGAAAATACTTGCTCCCATAGGCAGCACAAGAAATGATAGGAAAACTGGTACATTTGCATAATCTGCATTATCATAAAGTTGTTTACCAGCATGGCTGAGCCGCCCAGCACTCCCAGGGTGTGAGGAGAGATGCTGCCCAATGCAGCCACTGCTGCGTAACCTAGAGACACAGAAATGGTGAGCTAGACACATTCCTGCAGAAAACATGAATCCCCTGGCTCCACACGCTTTTCCCTGAGGGAGAAGAGGGGGGAGCTCCCCAGCCTGTCCATGGTGCAGGGGTTTCCATGGGCGCCTTCTCTGCCCCCGTGGAGCAGCTCCTGCAGGAGGAGTCTCTGGCCAGGCTGGCTGCAGGAGAGCAAAAGAGAGTACCTGCTCCAGTGCTGTATTTCCACAATAAACTGGAGCCCATTTAAAATTCAGCAGCATCGTGTGAACGTGTTGCTGCTTTGCCTCAGAAATAATCAGTCAAGACAGTCCTCAGACACTGCTGCTCATTAAATAAAACACCCGGAGTCCTCCCTGAAGGGGAAGGTTCCTCAGGGACTGGCAATATTTTAGCCTGCTTGCCATCTGAGGGCTTTAAAATACTTCAGAAGCATTAATTAAGTCTCAGGACATGCCTGTAAGATGGAAGATTAGCATTTACTCAGCAGTGAGCAGCACTGGGGCTGCAGGCTGGGGTGCTCTGGGGCTGTGGAAGTTTGGATCCGGTGCTGTGAATCCCTGGTGCCAGCACAAGGGAGA